GCACTTTTAAAGGCTAAACAAATAGCATGCCTTTCATGGTGCTACTTGTGTATGTAGCTGTGCATGGCTGTTCTGCTGTAAAATGGTATTTAAATTATATTGTTTCAAAATTAACCATTTTCTTTTGGTAGGCCATCATATATGGCCCGTCTGTCCAGGAAGATCTATCCTTCCAGGAGGCTGAGCAGGTCTACTGCTGTGGTCCAGTTTACCATCAAAGGTCAGGGTAACGGATGTACTATTTCCATTCACACAATGCCCTAAAATCTTTTTAACTCTTTACTAATAGTATTGCGATTACCTATATTAAGGAGGACCAGTGTTAATGAATGTAACTTTCTAAGTGTTCCTAATGTTTCTGTAAAGCCAGCAGTGATAATGTTGTCTGTCTACTAGTTCAGTGAAGTGGAGGAATCTTGCAGAGGGCTGGACAAAGAGATGAAGACAGGAAGGAGACAATTCAGCCAGTAGGTGGTGCTCCCTTCAGAACTGGGCTTATTGGTATGAAATGTTAAAAATAAAATACGTTTTGCCAAAGTATAAAATTGAACCATGTACAGTTTATCAGATATATCAGTGTTATATCTACATGTGTGTGTTAATGTCTGTCTCTGTGTCTCTCTCAGGAGATAGTGACATCACACATTCTGTGGTTGGAGTCATAAGACCAGTTTACTTGTGTTTTGTTTGTGTGTGTGTGTGTGTGTGTGTGTGTGTGTGTGTGTGCTGTTGCTTTTATTTTTATTTTATGTTATTGTATAGAACAGGGGTATTCAATTAAAAGTCACTGAGGTCCAGTTATTAAAATTTCCTCCAAGTAAAAGGTCCAAACCGAAGTCCAGTTTGTGTCTTATAGCCTTCCCCTATGGCCACATTTTCATGGTTTCAAAAATACTTATTTTCAGAGCAGGACATGTTCAACTGAGTGCACAGTTTTGCTCTTTTACCATATATATAAGTAGTCCCAGGCAAAAAAAATTTAAAGCCTTTATTTCAGATTAGACAAAACAAAAACCTCAACATAAAATCCATTTAAAAAGTGCAAACAGAGGCAAATAACCCTTTTATCTCTTAAATTAAAGAGGTCCCAGCCTAAAGAACTGAAGGCCTCCACTTCAAGTAAAAAAGTCAACATCCTTAGAAAACAATAAATAAAAGGTTTGGTTTGCACGTTGCTGGGCTGTAAATGTGTGTGATGAGTTGGACAGACCTGTCATACAGGGCTTGCAGCTCTGTTATTTTACGTGCCCTCTGCTCTGACGTCAGGGGATAACTTTGCTCTAAAGAGCTGTGCTTTGTCTCGTATCAGCGCTTTGCATTGCTACTTTTAATTACTGCCACGTTTTCAGAGCATATGAGGCACACTGGCTGACAGAAGAATGAACATACTTTTCTCTGTTCACTCATCTTCACAGCAGCGGTTTTCATCAACCTTCCTTCTTTTGGAGCAAGCCATGCTGTCATCACTGTCTCTTCCTCTCTGCTCTGCTGTATAACCAAACGATTTGATTGGCTCGACTGAGTGGCGCTTTTGCCGTATTAACTGGAGTAGCAGCACCCGCTATCGACAGCTGCGACCGTCGGAAAAAATGCTCCATGAAAATCTATTCTCGTGAATTCATCAGAGATTGGTCACAGGTCCGGACAGAACCATCACTCGGTCCGGATCTGGACCGAGGTCCACCATTTGGTGATGCCTGATATAGAATAAATAAATTCTGCCTTCAGGGCTGTCCTTGTGTTTTGTCTCTTTTCAACCTGTCAAACTGTCCTGTTTGACATCTACAGACCACAGAGGCCAGAGCAGTAGAGTCCATTATAATTGTACCTGTTCATAAGTGTGTTAATGAAACTATTTGCCCAAATGCAAGTCTTAGCGACCAAGTTATTATAATAGTAATAAGTAATGTTTTGGCTTTCAAACCTCAACTTGTTGGTTAAAAAGCACTATTTGGATGGAAAAAAAACTTCAAAATTATAGGTACTTGGACATGAAGTAGTATTTTGTGTGGAATCGTCCTTGGATCAACCTTTTCAATTATAAATATATTTTGGGAGAAATCACCCTTTAGAACTAAATTGCGCATTTTGACCATCATTCATGGTGGTAGGTGGCACTGGGCCCTGAGAGTGCTGTCCTGAGAGTGCAGCCTCCGGCTCTGCAGACACATACTATTGTCCTCTGCCGTCTCAGAGGTGTGTTCAGCCGCTGACATCCTATTCTCTGCCTTGGTGGTTCTCTCCTCAGTTTTTTTCAGGTGCTGAGCATGGGCCTGTAGCATTTGAGGTAATGGTCCCAGCTTCTCGTCAATCACCCTGGTTATGTTTGCCGTTATTTCCTGAATAGTTTGGCGAAAATCCGGGCCAAGGACATCCTCGGTGTTAGCTGTTAGCAGTTGCTGCTTCTCTGCTGCTGGGTGGGAGTCGGGCAAGCTAGCAGTCACTTCTGGTCTGCTCGTCTTAGTCGTTTTCCTACTATCTTTTGGTGGCATCTTGTCCTGGCGTCTCAAAAAAATACTCATCAATATTCATATTAAGATGTCCGACATGCGGTGGTGTGGAGCTCAGAAAAAGTCAATTACTCTCTACGCTGCCATCTTGAATCCCCCAGTTGCTTCTTTCTAACTGACAGCTACACATTAAAGCTGATAAACTTTAACATTCATACATTTAAAGTTATATTTTATTAAAGTCCATTTAGGTCTGACACTGTCCCACAATGCAGGATATCACTTCAATTTTTGGCTAATTCAAAGCAAAATTAATGTTATTGATTAAATATTCTCTGTCATAAATACCAGTAGAATGATCCACTTTCTAATCAGTTTTCTATCAATGTATTACCAGCAGTTGAAACAGACTTGACAGCAAATCAGAGCCAAAGACAAAAACATATTTATGTGATTTCTGCATCGTCAACTAAATACATGTTGGGTTCCCATGGCAAGCTGTGCAGTTACAGTGTGTGATACTGTAACTGCACAGCTTCATTGATTGATTTTAGTAGTGCACAACTCAGCATAGAACTGCTCTCAGTTTTTTTTTTCTCTTTAGGAGAAAGGAAAGATGCTTCTGGCATTGCTGAGTGGTCAAGAGTAGCTTGACAATAGCGATCTGACACTTGCAGCCCATTTCGCGGACACGTCGGTGTGTGGTGACTCTGGATGCACTGGTTTCTGCCTCAGTCCACTGCTTGCAAATCTTGACCATAGTCTTGATTCTGCTTTTCTTGACCATTCTCTCAAATCTGTGGTCTTCCCTTATGCTTATGCATTTTCCTACCACACTTTTCCTTCCGGTCAATTTTCTATTGATATATTTTGATACAACATTGTGTACCGGCCCTTTCAGCAATGTATTTTTGAGTCTTACCCTCCTTCTGGAGGGCGTCAATGACTGTCTGGACAACTGTGAAGTCAGTACCATATTCTAACAGTATGACATGCACCTGTAGTCTTTTGTCGTTATGCTGTGAAGTGTCCCATATGCAGCATCAGTTGTCATTAACTATGACTCACAACACAGGACAAAATGATCTACAGCTTGTTATTGTCGTGGCAATAGCATTATGATGGAGTACACTAATCTAAAGAAACAAATAAAAGTGGAGATGTAAATGCTGAGTTTACTCACTGGTGCCAACCCAGGACACTCATACACTGTGAAGTCTCCATCCTCGTTCTCCTCATCTGTCGATGCTCCTGAGTCAGGAACTTTTGGCTCATCCCTGTGTCTGCAGAGGTTACACAAACACAGTCAGAAAATATTCAACAAGGATATCACAGATTTAATGAAGCAGAAAGGAAAGACAAGGAGTAGGATACAGACCAACATGTTCAGGAAAGAAAAAGATTTCTGGCACAGGAAAATGACTCACTTATCAAAGGAGAGCATCTGCTGCTTCTGGTGCTGGTAGTGGTACATCTGAGCACTGTGTGCCAGCTTCTTGTCTCCAGGCTGAAACGCACCAAGGGGCAGAGTGGACGTGAAAAAGTCAGTGGTGTTCATCGATATCCAGTTGCACTGCTAAGCTGACATGTACTTTGCAGAATGCGTCCCTACTGCACAAGCTGTGAAATTCCCAAACCATTTACTGAAAGTGTGTTTGTCTTTCAGGGTGCTAAATACTCTGTTTATGGCTGGTGTTACCCCCACAAGAAAATTCTGGATAGAAATTTTAAGGATTTGTCCAAGCCCACATAGCATAAAACGGAGATATGACAGCATTATGCCAATTGAAAAATTATTTTTGTCAGCACTCTGTCATAGGAACTTTGGTGAGTTTTAAACCAACATTAGCGAACTAAACTATTATACCAGATACAAATACATTCAACATCAAAATGCTTGAAGCCATGATGTATTACTGAATGTTATTCTTCAGTAATAACTAAGAATGTAGATTTAAAGTATTTCCTTAACTGGCTGTTGGTCATAAAAACAATAATCAAAACAACAATAGACCTTATTTCATACACTGATAAAAAAATGGTGCTGTATGTTCAAAATCACTGGATTTGAGGGATTGTTACCCCCTGA